GATGAGAAGCAGTAAATACTGTCTTTGACTGTCGCGTAATGTAGAAATCGTGTCTTAATCTACTATTAAAGTGGTTTGTATTTTACTGCAAACACTACTAATGTAGCGGATTTAGAGAGCATTTGTGCCCCGTGAGAAGTTTTTGCGAGAATTCTTAACGGAAATGTGAGTGTTAATTGAACATTGAACTTTAGGCAACATCAAAATAATATCATCGAATAAAAACATTAAAATTCCAAGAATGTTTTATTAACGTTTGATATTTAAATTTGCAGTTCACCAATGTAATTCTAAACGTGTTTTGAAGGTTTTTTGTCCGATTGTTCATGCATGTATACATTTTTAAAACAACCGTTTGGTCTCGTCTTCTAATCACTAGGGATTCCATCCCAAGGATAGCGATCTGATCGTAAACCAAATTTATTACACGTTCTTATGTGCAAACGGTGTCGGTTAAGAACAACATTAGCAATTTATCAATTTTCTCAGCTGCTAATATGCGATTTTTTTCTTCCTCGTGCCATGAAAAGGGTTTTAATGAGCATTTCAACCTTGAGTAGCTTTTTAAATCTAGTTTTTAATGGGATTCAATATTTTTGCTTTGTTTGTTAGTGTAGGCATACTCAGAAGGTCTAAACGTGTGCTTTTAAGTATTAATTTAATTTCAACTTTCGGTCTGACGAAAATAATGAAATAGCTTCTGAGGTTGTTCATCTGATCAATTAAGTAATTTTCAGTGCCATTTTTTGATTGTTCTGTTTCATTTTGGTAAACATTTATACAGGATCTACGAATATCATAACTACATTGTTCAATACTTTGAATGAATATGAATAGAAAACTATATACAAAAATATGGAAAAAACATAAAAGAATAAGCAACAATAATCTAATAACTTACCGTTATTTGCAAGGACACTTAAAAAAGGTCCAAAGATGAGAAATAAAATTCTCACGCCTGACTGCATCTTCATTTACAGTCGCTCTCTTCAACACATCTAAGAATCTGAAACAAAATACATACGTTGATTACAATCAGGTAAATACATCAGATTGAAGTTTAATGCATTCCATTGTTGGCTAACATTTTTAATATTGGAAGTAATTTTATTAATACTGTATGATTAATGTATGAGCATCAGAACAAGAATCGTCTTATGCCGTGGAAAAATGGCAACCAGTTCTTCAGTTGCAAAGCAGAATGAAAATCGACTTTGGTTTGTTGCTACAGTTTTTTGATCAAAAAACTTATTTTCAAGATATTTCTAATTTTTCTTGGAGGTTTTTTCTTAATTAGTTTTTGCTTCTCCCTTCAATTCTCGATTTATATTCTAATACTAATTATTATTTGTGTTTCTAAGTTTTTCTACAATGGCGCCTCACGTCTTTTACAGTTTTTGTGCAGTCACTTCTTCCATTCCACTTGTATGTTTTTTCTGCTTTTTCTTTCACCTGGTATTTGATTCTCCAGGCTTTAGATTATTTTATTATTTTTAAAACTTTTGAAACTACTTTCACTACTAAGCGAATGTCGATTTTATGGTACAGTTTATTTTTGTAACTTTAATTTGGAATTTGGAGTTTAAAGAAATGCTTTCTTGTGTATTTAAATTTCCTGCTCAGGTTGTGATCCTTAAAACTTGCAAATCTTGATCTGCTTTGTTTATCTAAAAATATCTATCAGAATTTTAAAAAACTATTTGCAAAATTTACAATTAAAATCGTTCAACTTTCTCATTTATATGCACAGACCTGTTTAAACTGTTAACATGATGTCATGTTGTAAATTAACCAGCAAATTATTTATGCATTATTCTCTTTGCGATATTGTTAACATGCCGCACATGCCTGGAATGTAATAATTACAATCAATCTGTGTAGATTAAAAATTAACAACAATAGATTTTGAATTTAATGGTTAAACTTCTCATTAAGGAGATTAGTATTTATATGTTGAGTGGTTGATACACAACAATAAAGTACGTTCTTAATAATAATAATAAATAATATAATAAATTTGATCAGTCACTGATTTTTTAACTACATGTTGTTATTTTTATAGAAGCAGTAAAGTGCTATAAAATACTTTTGTTTAATGGATTGATAAATGACTTTGGCAAAGTAAAACGAAAGTTTTTGGCCAAAAACTGAGAACATTTCATTAAAATCGAAGGAGCGTCGGAATTTCCAGAAATTTTGAACATAACGAAAAATTAAATCTCCAAAACTAAAGGAATTAGTAATTCGCAGAATTGGCACAATAAAACAGAAGATTTGAGTTACAAAAAAAAACCTCACTGGCATTCGAGAATTTCAAAGGCATTGAACTCGAATTTGAAATTAATTCAACAATCCCCCGACTGTGTTAGTGCTGAAGAAAAAGTTGAAACTTCTAAACTCGCAGGGGTAGCGACTTGCAATAGTGGTACGGCAAAAATAAAGCTCTGGACATAAAATTCCGAAAACTTTTCTGCAATCGTAGGGGCAGCTTTCAACTGAGAAGCCGTTGAACTTGTATGTGAAAATATAACATCATCCCGCCTTGCGCTGGAGCTCAATAAACAATCGAAGCTTCCAAGCCAGTGGAAGAAGCAACTGCCCATCTGACACAGTAAAACTGAACATTTGTGTTAAAAATGGATATAATTTCACTCGAATGCGAGAGTCGGCTGATATATTAAACGTTAAATTTCGATCTAAAAATTTAAAATCGGCTTAACTTGCGGTAGAGCCCAAGAAAAATTCTACACCGTTAAGCCCCTCGATGGAATAACTCGTTAATTTCAGAGCTTAAAAACAAAATTTTAGGGTTAAAATTGACAAAGTTTGAATTGAATGCCAGCTTCAGCTTCTTTGTCGGAAGCCGTTGAATGTCGCCGGAAAATTCCATAATCATCCTCACTTGTGGTGGGGCTAAAGAATAAATGAAAACTTTCACACCCATGGAAGTAGGGACTAGCAAATAAGGCAAAGTAATAATAAAAGTTACTAACTAACTAAAAAGGGAAGAAGCTTTACTTGAATCCGAATGCCAACTGATTTTTCAGAAGCTGTTGAATTTAGACCTGAGAATGATCAATCCTTCCATCTTGCGGTACCGCTCAAAAACACATCGAAACTTCCAAGCCACTAGAAGTAGCAACTTTCCCATTTGGCGCAGGATAACTAAAAATTTGTGCTAAAAGTTGAGCAAACTTTACCTAAATCGGAATTACAACTGATTGTTGGGAAGCCGTTGGACTTGGAGGTGAATTTGAAAAATCAAAAAAGAACCGGCACTTTTAAATTGCTGGAAATTGAAACATGCAAATTTGACACAATAACAAGAAAGGCGTAGGCTTAAAGTAAAGCAAATTTCACTTAAATTCTACCATTTTCAACAATTTAATATTTCAACCGTTGAATTTTGACGTAATTATAGAAAATGCTTCCAACTTGCGGTAGCTCTCAAGAAAAATTGAGACTTCCTTGCAATTTTGAAGTAACAACTTGTAAATTTGGCCCAGTAAAACTTAGGTTTTCATCACCATCAGCATCTACTATCTTTTCCATAGCCGTTGAACTTGAACGTACAAATGAAAACCTTCTGAAAAAAAGTTCCGGGAGAGCTCATAAAAATATTACCTTTCAAGCTAGTGAAAATGGGAACTTAAAAACAAAAAATAGAGTTAAAAGTTGAGCAATTTTCATAATAATCTTAGCTGCAGAAGGTAGGAACTAACAAAATCATCTGAACAACGCGGTTGAGTCCAAGAAAACCAATACCAGTGGCCCTAGCAATTAGTCCATTTGGCCCAATGTGTTGCCCCAAAATGTTACTTGAGTCC